TCACAGATGTAATGGCAGAAAATTTCCCAAACATAGAAAAAGAATTAAACATATAGTGAAAAATACATAATTTCAATTAGCCATGACCAAAATAAATCTACACCAAGGCATATAATAAAGATTCCAGAAATTCAGCATAAGAACAGAATATTAGGGGCCAGGGAGATGGCTCAGTAGGATAAGCGCTTGACTGGCACATACAGGGATCTGAGCTCAATCCCCGGTTCCGCCAAAAAAAACAAAACAAACAAAAAAAACCCCAACAACAAACAAACAAAAACAAACCCTTTAAAAAAAAGGAACAGAATATTAAAAGCTGTTTGAGAAAAGAAATCATTCATAAATGGAAGTGCATTAGAATCACAGCAGACTTCCCAATACAAACCCATAAGTCAGCTTAAAGTGAAGTATTTCAAGTCCTGAAAGAAAACAACATTCAACACAAATGTACCATGATTGCACTGATGTACCACGCAAAACTATCTTCAAATATCAATGGAGAGGGGCTAGGGAGATAGCTCGGTAGTTTAAGCACCTGCCTGGCAAGCACAAGGATCCAAGTTTGATCCCAGGTACTGCATGCTGGGTGCGCTGTGCTGGGCCCGAAACCAGATGTGGTGGCTCACGCCTGTAATCCCAGGACTGGGTAGGCTGAAACAGGAGGATCACTACAAGTCTAAGCTGTGTAGTGAGATCCTATATCAAATAAATAAATAAGTAAATAAAATGTTTGAAAAAATCAATGGAGAAATAAGATACTTCCACAGCACAGAACAATTAAAGAAGTACATAACCACCAAACCAGTGTTCAAAATGTTCTGAAGGCTATTTTAGAAAGAGATAACAAAGACCACAATCCCAACAACACAAATAAAAACAAGCCATCAGGCAAATAAGTAATTAATCTGGGGCCGGGGAGATAGCTCAGTAGAGTAATTAATCAGAGGGAAAGACAGGAAATGAACAGGAAAATAATGTCAATGATAAGCCAATAAATATCAGTTATAACCATCATAAGGACTCTGTACCTGTATATGGCTTTTCTCAATTCCTTTTTCCTCATTCTCTTACCCACTCTTCAACTTCTTATCCCTTCTTCTCCTTATTTACAAAAGCTTTGCTTCCATTTTTCTTCTTCTCTCCCTTTTCTTTTCTTTCCTCTTCCTCCCTTATTATCCTTCTCAATTGAGCATTTTATTCTTATCTCATAGTACCTAGTATATCTTCTGGTCCTTATTTACACTTTTCTTTTTCTTTTTTTGTATTTTAGGGAAGGGTCTACAGGGTGTTCAGGGTCTAACTACTGGAACAGACTCATAGTGATTCGCCTGTTTATAGCCTCCCAAGAGCTGGGATTACAGGCCTGCACCACCATGCCCAGTCTCACCTGCCGTCTCAGCGCACCCCTGGGGCGGGCTTGGCAGGGAAGGCCTGGGGATTGAACCCCCAGGCCCTGTGCCTGCTTGCAGGTGCTTTAATCCACTGAGCTATTTGGCCGGACCTCCTTATTTACACTTCCAGTTTTTCATACCAGAGGGATAGTGCTGTTCCACTTATTATTCTCACTGCTACCACCACTACTGCTGCAGTCCCTAACCTTGTTGTCCCTTGAGGTTTTAGTTAGATGCTCTAGAATACAACACAAAACAAAAACCTATTGTTTTTTCTTAAAAGAAATATAAATAAAAGAAGATATGTAAAGACTATTATAGAGGAATTCCTTAGAGTACAGCCTCTCAGACATGTAATTTATATGATTAGCATGTTTGGCAGTGTTTCTTACACTGGAAACATCTTGAGTTTTTTGGGACTAATATTGCTTTATTTTTAGCAAATATCAGTATCACCATTTGTATATGCACTGCCTATTATAAAAGTAAGACACTGGACTGTTTAAAATTTCCCTGCATTTTGAACTGGGGATGTGCTCAGTGGTAGAGTGCTGGTGTAGCATGCCAGAGGTTTGGGCAGGACCCCCACCATGCTCCCCAGCCCCTCCAAATCCCCTGAGTTTTATCCCACTGTGCATATTCCTGTCTGATCCCACAATTTATGCCTTACAATGAGTTCTAAAACAGGCATCTTATTTCTAGAAAGCAGCTCCATCCCCTTGAGGAGTCCTGCTTTAGTAATAGCAGGTCCGATGGCTTAAAAAAACTGTATTAAGCTTCTGGGTTTCACAGACTGGCAACCCATGTCTGATCACAGTCAGAGCAGGGAAGAAAAAACTGATGAGCCCTTGAGGAGATAAAAAGAACACAACCTGAAAATTTATACTACTTGGTTACTGGGGCCATAAAAAGTCGTATCTATAAATTATGCAATTATTGTCCTTTTGGTAAAGCACAATCTCATACTAGATATAAATGAAATCTCCTAAGATTCTGAAGACCATAATGGCAGGATAGGGACATATTATTTTCATATGGTCTCTATTCAAGTAACTGTGCTTCCTAAGTTACAGAGCTCAACTGTCCTTTCTCATCTATATTCTGGGTGCTGTTGGTCTGCTGGCAGCCCTGGATAATCTGTTGCAGCCATCTAAGAAGTAGGTCCTACATGAAATGCTGACCTATAAATAAATAAAGTCCTAATCTAGACTATATTGTCTGAAGCAGCTTTTAGTGCCCAGTCTTTTTTTTTTTTTCTTTTTTTTTGTATTTTCAGGGAAGGGTCTACAGGGTGTTCAGGATCTCACTACTAGATTGGACTTGTAGTGATCCACCTGTTTATAGCCTCCCAAGAGCTGGAATTACAGGCCCATACCACCATGCCCAGTTTCAAATGCCATCTCAGCGCACCCTGGGGGCAGGGTCAGCACAGCAGGCCTGGGGATCAAACCCCTGGTCTGTGTGCTTGCTTGCAGGTGCTTTAATCTGCTGTGCTATTTGGCCAGCCCCTTAGTGCCCAGTCTTTTTTTTTTTTTTGTACTGGGGATCAAACTCAGGATACCGCACTTGCCAGGCAGGTGCTTATGCCACTGAACTATCTCCCTGGCCCTGAAGCAGCTTTTAAAAAGGCAGGTATCATTTTGGAACTGAAAAGCAGCTGGTTACTTATAGTTAAGCTTTAGGCCTAATACAGAAAGCCTAGTTAGTCCTTTAACTAGGTTAGTCCTTCTACAAAGGTGGTTTTGGTTATTATGGCTCCTGAGTCCCTACTATCAATCTTCTTCAAAAATAAAGTATTTCCTGAAAGGCACATTCCCCCTACCAGCTCAGCTAGGGTCATTCAGTGTCATGCATCTTGTTCTTGGTGTCCAGAGGAACAAAACTATCAAAGGAAAACTTGATGGTATTCCTAAAATTAATATAAAATCTTGAAAACCTGTAAGTCTAATTCTTCCAATAATCTACCTTGTCTTCCTGGTTTTGAAATGGAAACCTCCCTGATTCAGAATTTGGGTCTCAATGTCAAGAGTGTATTACAAGAAAACTCAAGACTAAGGTTAGCAGGGGTTAGTCATATCCAGGTAGGATACCCATGAAGGCAAGAAAGGTCTCACTGGTACATTTTTTTTTCTTTACACATTTTCTGTCCCTCCTGTAAGAGGGCATTATTCCTAAATTATTCTTTGTCTGTGCTTCACTGGTCCTATTCATTACTTCTAAACTAATAAAGACAGTATATTAAGATCTTCACATAAATTCTACAAGGTAGATATTATTATTGCCCTATTTTAGAGATTTGAAAAACTGAAGAAATGGAACACTTTCAAGGTGAAGCAAGATCCAGGGCCCAAACTCAAGGCAGTCTGGCTAATGCCTATGCTCCAGTGCATGACAACACTCTGCCTGAAATGCCTCTCTGCTAGGCTGTAGGTAGGTACACTTACCTGGTCAGGATCTTGAGTCTTCATGAGAATAGGGCTGTATCATCAGATCATTTTGACTTATTCAGCCCCTAAGAAGCCTTAAGGCTTGCTTCTTTGCTTCCTGCTACAGTTATTTCCCAAACTTGCTTGATGATAAGAATCACCTGGAATATTTATAAAAACTGGCGGCCTCTCCAGATTCTATCCTTAGATGTTCTGATTCATGGGCTCTAATATGGTCCCAGGAATGTTTACTTTTAACAAATGCCCTGCAAGATTCTTCTTGTCAGGTTTGAGAAATAATGCTCTAGCCAATGGGAACAAACATTGTTGGCCTTAAGTACTACACTTTGAGTCAGATTATTTCTAAGTAGATGACATTTCTACGGTTGACTGAATCCAAAGCATATGGTATAAAGTAGTTTTCTTTCTTTCTTTCTTTCTTTTCTTCAGGAAGGATGTGCGGGTGGGTTAGGATTCTTTGTGCTTTTTTCTTTTTGAATGATGACTGTTAGAATTCTTTAATGTTTATGCCGTAAGGGATTTTTTGCATTGTTCTAGTCATAGAACAACTTTATCAAATACAAAGGATGCTATCTTTTATGTCCTGCCTAAGAGAATTTTGGAGAATATTAAATAAAAAGGAAACAGGAGCACAGAGTTCTTGTTCCTTAAAGGACCCTTAAGTGAATTCTTTGTATAACCAAGAGAGAGGATTTAGGCTTTTCAAATTAAATGTATATGAATCATACACAGGGATGACTCAGGAAACTAGTTTATAAGGGGTTAAATCAATGTACATAGTCTAATAAGCAGAAATGATCTTTGACACTCAAAGAAATCAAATACAAAATTGATAAATTCACATTATTAAATACTGTTTAATGTTAATAAAAGATCTCAAACATGCCTGAACTGCTTAAACACCATTTTTGTTGTTCCTCACAATGAAGCTTCTACCTGAGGGCACTACTCAGCCTACTTCAACTGCTGCATGTATGTATCACTTTGGGAAAAAGAGGAGGAAAAAACAGAAAATAATATTGTAAGACAGCCAATGGGGGAAAGAATGTCAGTCCTTTCTCCCCCTTGGAATCCTCTGCTTCTTGGACTTTGTTTCTGAAGGGACCACAGCAAATGAGTAGGCAAGTCCTGTCCCCAGCTCTGAAGCACCAGATGTACATACCTCTTGGTGGGAGTGGGTACTCCAGAGGACATGTGGCTAGCCATGGTGTCATTCATATTAGTCAGAGGTCGAGCAGGACTGAAAAAAAAGACATTTACTTTATATTAATAATTACCAGCATGCCTAGAGGAAATAAGTAAGTGATAAGGGCAAAGTAACTATCATTTCTGATAAGCACAGTGACACTCAAGGGGAGTGGACAAAACAAACTGATACTTGAACCCTAAGTAAATTCAACAAAAGCACTCTCTTACAAGGCTCTCTCACAGGATCACAGAACTGTGGGGCTTGCAGAAGCATTTCTCTGAGATGGAACTTCAATAGCTTTTGTTTTAGGACACAAGGATATAAATTATCCTACATAGTTTTAAATGTTAAAGAAAAAAATCCATCTGAAGGTTGTGCTAATTTACAGTTCTGTAAGTGGCTGTGTCTTCAATGAACTTTTTTTCCCTTCAAAGTTGATTTCTCTATAGTATAGTTATAAGATTAGTAAGTATCTGGCATTTGTTGTATATCACAAAGGTCACAACCTTGAGACGTACAATTTTCCTCAGATTTGGCTTAAGTTCATTTTCTTTTCTCCTATCTGGTTTGCAAGCTTTTTTATCAAAGTAAGTTATTAAACACTCAATTTGAAAAACTAAGCCTTTGGAGCAAACTTTCATTACTCTTTTACAAAAATCTTAGCAATAAATCCAAATTTTGTATCCATAGCCTAATTAGGATATTGTCTTTTGTAATCTAATCCATATTTAAATTCGAAAGTAACCATTTTAGTTGGGGGTTTTCTGGATCCAAAGCCTACTGCTCCCTCTTTGAATCCTGAGCAAATAAATCCAAAATTATCAAAGGAGTCTCCTAGGACTGGGGAGATAGCTCAGAAGAATAAATGCCTGCCTGGCAAGTGCAAGGTCCTGAGTTCAATCCCCAGTACTGAAAAGAAAAAAAAAAAGGAGTCCCCTGGCTTGCCTTGCCATACTTCAGTCATTCTTCATATCCTTCAATTGCTCTCCTTTCTTACCAGGGTCAGCTACAAAAGGTTCTGTCTTACATCTGGAGCCACGTGACTATTGCCAAGTACTCCTCCTGGGAAATCTTCTACTTCCTCTCCTAAACTGAAAATACTTCTCAAAGAGAATGGTCTACTATAAGTAAGAAAGTGAAGCTGAAATGTCCTCTTTTATTTAGCTGCTGAATTCTCCTTACATTTGAGGGTACAGTTAATTTTGTAGAATGTTCCAGTAATGACAATAGCAAAATATGGTGACTATTGAGGGATTGTCACCTTTAACTGTTTTGCAAATTTTATAGTACATTCAAATAAAAGCTCAGAGGAAATGTTTCAGGGATAGTCAAGGGACATAGAAGTTGAGGAGGGATTTTTCTCTTTGCATCTATCCTCCTCACCCCAAAAACCTATTTCATAGCTGAGTAGGAAACTTTTATAATAATATCCCACTTAATAAGAAGATCCAAAATAGTAATCTACATGGAACACATTTAAGCCACTTGACTCTTAAGCCTTACTTCTATGTTTATGATTGTTTCTGTATTGTTTTTTAGGTGACAAGTCTTAAATAAGACATTGAGAACTGCAATATGCCTTTATAGGCTAAAATTCAATTCTAGTTCTTTATTTAACATTCAAACATTCAAACCTCTTAATCAATTAATTAACTGCTTTTGGTTGACTAATGATGGAAAAGAATCCAGAGGTTAGTTTACTTGGACCTTAATCTATGTTTGCCTCTAGTTCTTTCAAATCAATTGTTCAATAAAAACAAAGAGACAGTTCCTATAAAGGCACCAAATTCAGAATAACAGCTTATGACACTTGAGGGCATTAGAAACATTCTAGTTCTGGAAATAGAATGGCTTGTGCCTCTTTAGTATATTATTATTAGCAATCCTTTTCCAAAATAAGATATTTTCACTTTGCTTTCAGAACAACACAAATGCCTGTTTTAATATCAAAGATACTACTACATTCAATTTCCTTTCTGATACTCAGACAAAAAATAACAATAGAAAAAAATTTAAATTCTTTAAACATGGATCCATATGATAAAAATTTTATGATGTGCAGCATTGTTTGGTTTGATGCTATAAAAGTCTTTCATAATCACCTCTATCTCTTGGCAGATACCATGTCCACTAGTATCTTTAGCACATACAGTATAGAGAAACCTCATCTCTAACATTAAAAATAGAATGATTGTAATCTGTATATTTGTTGTAACTGCCCCCAAATTTCACACTTTCTGGATCCCTACAATGTTTTGCTAGAAGTACAAGTATATATTTGCAGCCCAACAAGAAAGATGTATTCACAAACACCAAGAAAGTATTCAAGAGCCAAGTATGGTTGTACACACCTGTAATCCCAATAGTTGGCAAGAGGCTTTCCATGAGTTTGAAGCCAGTCTGTGTTCGATAATGTGTTCAAGGCCTGCCTGAACTACATAGTGGGGCCCTATCTCAAAAAACAAAACCAACCAAATAAAAAAGGACTTGTAATGCAGGATTTCCTCCATAGCCTTAATTCACTGAAAAACCAAGGGCACCAATGCATTCTTAGAAGTAATAAACAAAAAACGACTCTGGGCTCCAAACGAAAATCTTCACCAAATACATAGTTGAAATGTGTAACATAGGTAGGAAGTAGATATTCATGATAGAAGTTACAAACAGTAAAATTAGCACAACCCTCAGATGAATTTTGTTGATCTTTAACATTTAAAAGCAGATGAAAAAACCATATGATCACGTCAATAGATGCAGAAAAATCATTCAAGAAAATTCAGCATTCATTCATGATATAAAATAACCCTCAAGATATAGGAATAGGGCCAGGGAGACAGCTCAGTGGCATAAGCATCTGCCTGGCAAGTGCAAGGTCCCATGTTCAATGCAAGATACCACATGCCACATGGCCCTGGATCCCTCAGTGTGGGGGTGCATGCTTGTAATCCCAGCACTGGGGAGGCTAAGACAGGAGGATCACTATGAGTCCTGTACCAACCAAAGAAAATAGGAGTATAAGGTCTTTATTTAATCTAAAAAAGGCCATTTATGACATCATACTTCACAGGAAGACTAAAAGCTTTTCCTCTAAATTCAGGAACAAGAGAAGGATATCCACTATCACTGTTTTTGTTCAACTTAATTCTCAAAATACTAGCTGGAGCACTTAGGAGAAAAAAATATGGATAGGGAAAAAAGAAGATAAAATATCATTATTTACAAATGACATGATTTTCTACATAGACAAGCCTAAACTTTACCAAAAGACTCTGAGAATTAAAAACCAAATTCAATACTTAACATTCAAACACCAATGATTTCCTGTATGTCAATAACAAACTTATGAAATACTTAGGAATTACTCTAACCAAGGAAGTGAAAGACCACTAACAATGAAAACTATAGGACACTAAAAAAGGATATTGAAGAGGATATTATAAAATGGACAGATTACTCCGTTCTTAGATAGGCGAAACCCATATAGTTAAAATGGCCATACTTTCAAAAATGTTACATAGATTTAATGAAATCCCAATCAAAATACCAATAACATTTTTTACAGTACTGGAGAAAGCAGTTCTAAAATTCTACAGAACAAAAAGAGATCTAAAATAGCAAAAGCAATTCTGGGTGATGAGGGGAAGGCATGGAAAATCACAAGCTGAAACTTCAAATTATACTACAGAGCTATAGTGGCAAAAACAGCATGGGATCTGGGAATGGTCATGTGTGTCTGTAATTCCAACATTCAGGAGGCTAAGGGAGGATTCTCCATGAGTTTGAAGCCAACCTGGACTACACAGTGAGTTTAAGACCAGACTGAACTACACAAAAAAAGACCCTGTCTCAAAAAAGAAAAGGAAAACAAAAAACAAAACAAAACCAAAAAACACCAGCATGGTATAGGAAAACAAAAAACAGACTCATGGATCAATACAATAGGGGATAAAGAAACAACTCCTGGTATACTTGGTTGCACTTCTTTGACAAAAGGGCCAAACCCCTTCACTGAGAACAGACAGACTCTTTTTTTAACAACTGGAGCTAGGAAAACTAGCTTTCCACATGATGAAACTTACACCCATAACTCTCACCATATAATAAACTACAATCAAAATAAATTGAACATCTCAATATTGGAACAGAAACAATCTTCTGGAAGACAAAAGAGGCCAAAACTCTCCTAGTCTAGGTAAAGGCAAAGACCTTAATAAAACCCTGGTTGAGCAGGATATAATACCAAGAATCCACAAATAGGATCACATTAAATTAAAAGGCTTTTGGATGGGAAAAGAAAAAGAGACAACCCATAGAATGAAAAAAAAAAAAAGTTTCCCAGCTACTCCTCAGAGTATTAACATCTAGCCTATAGAAAGATATATTCGACCCACCCCAAAATTTAAAACCCAAAGAAATACTTCTCAGATGAGAAAATACAACTGGGTGATACATGAAAAAAATGTTCAACATCACTGGCCATTTGAGAAATTCAAATTAAAACAACATTATAATTCCATCTCACCCAAGAAAAAATGGCTATTATCAAGAGATTAAAAAATGCTGATAAACAAAATAAAACAATCCAAAAACCAAATGTTGGTGAGTCTGGGGAGAAAGGAACCCTCTTCTTACAACTAGTATGGAAATCAATATAGAGATTCCTTAACAAACTAAAAATAGAAATTTCATTGGATACAGTTACTCCCCTTGTTAGGTATCTTCTCAAAAGAATTTTAAACACTGTATCATAGTGGTATATGTGTTATACCCATATTTAAAGCAGCACAATTCATAATATCCAAATATTTGAAATTGGGCTAGCCAAATAGCTCATTGGAGTAAAGCACCTGCAAGCAGGCACAGGGGCCAGGGGTTCGAACCCTGGGCCTGCTGTGCTAGCCCTGATCCCAGGGTATGCTGAGTTGGCAATTGAGACTGGGCATGGTGGTGCGCGCCTGTAATCCCAGCTCTTGGAAGGCTGTAAACAGGTGGATCACTATGAGTCTGATCTAGTAGTGAGATCCTGAACACTCTGTAGACCATTCCCTAAA